GGAAATAAAGCTCTTGCATTGTTCTCTCGCACACAGAGGGGAAATAATAGAATGAAGTGTCTCGCCCATGAACACATTACAGGTGCTACAACAAAGATTATCATAGAGAACCCCGCTCTTGAAAAGTATAGTAGAACCTCAACGGAAAAAGTGTGCCATTAGAGGAGGAGGTCCGCTTCCATGAACGAAACAAAAAGGGACCTTGTATTATATCAAAAAATGTACTGAGAAGAACGCTTCGAAGAATTAATTTCTTATTTTTTGTTTGGTACCGGCAGCAAGAGCAAACAGTGGGGATAAGATGGTGTTCAGTCAGTCTTCTGTGGATTATTTTTTGGAGCCGGAATACAAACCTCTGTTTAGTTTTATCATGAGACTTGAAGCTGGACAGGGCGATACTATAGATAGGTAAGAACAAATTTATTAATATTTAGATGAAGGAACGTTTACCAATGCATTTTACTGCTTTGAGGACGAGTGGCTTTTCTTCAGGGTTGTTACTGCCCAGCAGTGCATGATGACACGTCCAAGACTGGTGCTAGTTTTGATTTAAAGAGAAAACTATCGGAGTGATTTTAAGAATGCGCCGGCTCCAAAAGCCGTACAATAAAGGAAATTAGACATTTATGTAAAGCTGTTGGTAGAAAACTAGGATGTTGTTTTATTATTTGACATATTAACCTTTGTTTTGCAGACTTTCGACACTTCACCATTTGTTGCAAGACAGGCTGGAGCAACCTCGCGTCGTGGTATCTGCTCAAATTTCTCCGGTTTTATTGAAGTAAGGAGCTCTCGATTCTGGCTTAAAACGTATCGAGCCTATGAAATTTTGATCTTAGAAATAATCCTCACATCATCCCCCTCCCCTTAAATCATTACCGCAGGCCATACCGTGAATATGAAAATTCTTTTCACTTTGAATTTGTTTTGACACATTGATTTTTTTAAAAAATATATTAAAGAGTCGTGCCAAGTTGCAGTTGATTTAGAACCAATCATGCAGGGAGGTTTATAATTTTGAGCGCAGTCATGCGTTTTCCTCCCTTATTTTATTTTTCCTCAGTATGTTTTTTTATAATATTTGCAATTTAATTATCCTTAGCGTGATGTTTTCGACTATCCTGGAAGAGGCAGACGAAGAGACTGCTAGCCGAATGGTACCAGTTATATTGGAGAGAGTCGGCCTTCTTTATCATGTGAAAAACTACCGCAAAGAGATTCACGAGTGAGTATTCTTTGTGCTTTGAGCAATTTTCAATTTAGTGTCGACAGTATTCCGAGATATTTATTTTTTTAATTAAGCCCTGCAATTTTCTTGGAAAACGGGTCCCCCCTCATCCAATCACATGCAAAGCTGAAAAGATTTGTGTTTTTGTCCTTGCTGTTTTCCCGCGCTCTAGGAAGTTGACATGTGATATTTTCCTTTGTAATGATGGGACTTTGGACCAACTTTGGCTGCGTTTTACGACACCAATCAAAAATTGATATATATAGGAAATATTTACACAGCCTGTGTCAAATCACTGTATGTTTTTCGCTCGGCTTTAAAGCAATGTGACGTCACTCAGGAACGAGTTAAGAGGGATGAACTCAATCGCGTGATAAGACTTTCCTATCCGCTGGTCCAAGCCGTCCATTAATGCTATAGATGTCGTGAAATCTTGATAAATCTTGATTAACGCCGGTGCTCACACCAGTGATATACTTACTACTAGGTTGCTATCAGAGAGATTGGTACAATTGTGTCAAAAATACCCAAACCTGATTGTCAGGTTTCAACAGGACATCATGGACTTTGTCAGCGGCCTTAAGAACCTTGGGCCGTCCAAAGAGAACTTCTTTGTTCACTTGGTGAGTAGAACAGCAAGAAAAAGGGAACTTTAGCTGATGAAGAAAAATCCATTCAAGTTGTTTGACAGCAGATTGAAAGCACTCTAATCAGCTTATTTGCGGCTATTATTATTGTTATGTCTCTGTTTAAGAGCTTTTTTTATCTTGCTGCTGCCTTAAAGAAGAAGACGTACTTGACATAATTTTATTGGACATCAATAGGTTTGGGTGATTGGCGAGTTTGCGTCGTCCTCACATGATGGTGGATGCACGGTGCAACACATCGTCCAATATTTTGAGGTACTTTATTATTTTCTGTTTGATGACTAAGCGAATAATATTGCCTCTTTCATCTGTAGAACTTTTCAACTCTGCCTATTTTAAAGGCGCAGCTCATCTTAACTCAATATTTAGATGCTTTTCTAACTACCACTGTTTTTATTTAATTATTTATTTTTTTATTTACTAGGCACTTGAAGCTTTGACGTATGAAGTTTTAGGGCAGAGCGCACCACGAAAGGTATGTGTCATCGTTTCTAGTGAACTTGTCCCTTCTTAGCAAAGTACCTCCCCCGTAATTACTAAGGACTGAGGAAATGAGCTGCGAAGTGTAAATAGTAAATCAGCTCTCCTTTCTCTTTTGCCATTCAACAGTTTGTTTCTCTTTCCTCAGGTGTCTTTTAGCGGAAGACTTGTCTCAGTTTTAATGACAACACTCGCCAAGGTGAGATTTGAGTTATTATTAGTTTTTTTATTGTATCTCGGTTCTCTCAAGAACTGATTTATGGCTTTCCTTTGATGATCACTTTTCGACTTCATGATCTAAGGTGAATGAGTGTATTGCGAGCCAAATGATAATGTACCTCATCAGTTTAATTGTATCAATGTAGTTTTTTTTCGAGGTATTCTTATGACTTTTCACTATTCTTGCTTTACTGTGAAGTAAGGTGAATTGGATGTTTCACTGGGACATCGTCATATAGATTTTAGTATTCTTTATCCATACAATTGAATCCTGGATGGCAAGCAGATACAATCTTTGTTGATAATTTGATGTAAGTTAATCGACGAAACCAGAAATAATTACTTAAAAATACACTGTCTGTTGTAAAGAATACTTATGACGGCCTTAGCTGTAGGAGTGAAAGAGATTCTTGTTTTATTCTTGTTTTCTTCTCTTGTAGCTTGCTTCGAGATGTCAGGATGTGATCCAAAGAGCTATTTTATGCTTGAGCAAAGTGGTGCGGCAAAAACCCGTGAGTTGGTTCTTGTTTTGTTTCGTCTTCTACTTGTTGTGGTGGAATGCTCGTCGCCCTCTCTTGCTTTTTTAAGTAATACTGCACTTTACCTCATCTGTGTTTGGACGGACCTTTGTCTCTTAACAAAAATGTTTCCTGTTTTTGATAGGACCTTCTTTCAGACCCGGACTGCTACCCAGATCTTCTGTTGCGAGCGCAAGAACTTATCAACCTTTTAAAACTACCCAAGTAAGAGCTGCTAATATTGCCTTTTATTGCTCAACGTTTTCTCCATTTTCTTACCTTCCTTTACCAAAATCTAAGAAGAATCGCCATGGTCATACGGTTCACGCGCTGTTCTACGGATCGCAAGATCCTATTTCGAGCCTTGGCTCGATTGATGTGTTTGAATCTTGTTTACAAGGGCTGCAACGTTTGAACCTTTCTGTGTCACATTATTACCTACCAGGCAGTCACTTCCTCTTACTGAGGACCGCAAAATAAACACTTGCGTGCCTGGGAGCGCAGTATTGAAATTTCGCGCACTGCACATAGGGAGTGAAAACGTTTCGCGACCAAGCTTTGCTCACAAGGCTCTTCGTTTCATGAACTAACCAGAAAACTTTGTCTGCACTATTTTTAGTGTGGCACCTGTGATCCTAAGCCCGGATTCAGAAGTTTACAGCGGAAGGTATGTCAGAAATAATTTTTGAAGCCTCTCGCAAGCCTCCCGTTCTCGCTAAACCATGTTAGAAATGGGCGTGTCTTCTAGAACCAAAGAACAGCCCCCTTTGCCGTTACGATGACTCAGTGTCTGACGTTTATCACAACAGTGTTTCCTGCTTTGTAGCTTTTCTTTATGTGACTTTGTTTCATTCTTTCAGGTGGCACAGAGACCGAAACGCTTCTCTATCTCTCCTGTTACGAACTTGTGACACCATTCTCTCCTCGTAAATTCCAAAGTATCATAGAAACACATGGCTTTTATAACAAGAATCAGAAGGTTTGACTATGTAGAACCTCTGAGCGTTAGAATAGTTTTGGGAAACTCAGTAGAATTTCTCCTAAGCTATAGTTTTGTATTTAACTACAATGTCTGAATCTGATGGTAAAAATAATTTATTTTTTTCTCTCCATTTTTTTAACGAATGCGCAGAACATAGACATTTAATTTAACTTGACTTACAGAGAGTAAAAAAAAAAAGCAACAACAAAGTATGTTATAATTTCTAGGAAATTCATTCGAAAAACAATGTAAGGAATTTGTAAAGAGTATACGAAGAGATATTAGGTTGTCAATGTGCAAAAAAAAAAATCCGAATAAATACTTTAAGCTACCTGTTTCTTCTTTCATTAAATTTAACTCCGGCTAATACATTGGTTCTACCCATTACATAGATTTCGCAGTTGCTTGCCCCATACCTCCAGCTGTGTAATAATGAAAATTGTAATGATGCTGATAATAATAATAGTAATAATAATAGTAATAATAATAATAATAATAATAATAATAATACTAATATTGATTATGTTATACCAACTGAGCCTTGCTTCAATTCCAGTTGATACACAGACCCTTCCACTGGCCAAAACAATACCGGTACTTCTTTTTTCTAGGTGCTTTCGAGTTTTCTTGTAAATTTTACTGTTATAATACCGTTGAGGTTCGCAGCAGTTGATGCATTTTATGAGTGACTCTTTTCGAGCAACTTATTTGATATTGATATTTTGGCATCTAAGCCGTGGTGCAATGACTGTAGCTAAGCAAAGATTCTATTCGGGAGCAGATTATCGACCTCCCAAGAGGAATCTTTTAACCCTTTAACTCCCAGAAGTGATTAACTTGTAACTTCTCCCTATAATGTCTGTATATTATCCAGCAAACAGGTAATGAGAATATTCAAACTTAGTTGGAAGAAGTTGTTATCTTGATATAACACCAAATTCTCATAACTTATTCACAAGAATTGTGTTAGAGGGGAGAATTAACAATCAGATCTTCGGAGTTAAAGGGTTAAAAAACGCCCGCAATAATTCACTCAGTAACCATCGGTTGTCACGTGACTTTCTTTAAATGAGCATTTTTGTGATGCCCTAGGCCCTTATTTGGCAGGTGACCCGGGTGATGTGGACTTAATTTAGGACCATCCCCCTGACCTCCAGGCCCCCCGGGAAGAGCTTCTAAAATGACAGCCGCTGATAAGAAAACAATATAGGTTAACAATAGTATACCTCCCGAACGTTTATCCAATCTCCAACTATTTCGGTGTATCACGAATAATGTTGCTAAAACTGTGCCAAACAGGCACAAAGATGTATAAACTACATGTCCACTGTGAATTAAAACGACGCTTTTCGGATGAACAACAGTCGTGGCTAAAAACCATGGAAGACCTAAGCAGAGGACGTCAAAGATATTGCTACCAACACAATTAGCCAAAGCCATGTCTCCCATTCCATGTTTAGCGACTACAAGACTTGCAATAGCATCCGGGACACTAGAACCAGCTGCCAATAGTGTCAGTCCCATGATGCATTCTGGTATATCAAAAGTCTCGCCTATGACTGACACAGTCCACACGAGTACGTATGATATGAGGGCCATCCATAGGATGGATACTACAAACGTGACTGGGTACCAGTTCTCCCAACCTTTCTTGCGACAGTCGGGCATTGTGAGGAAGAAAAGGGCGTGGACAGGTAACATGATCACCCAGATCACTAATTGAAAAGAACTCTTGGGAATTTCGAACGGAGATTTTTCTGAAAAACCATGAGCTTGAGAAGAGGAGGTATCGGGATCATTGACTCCCCTTCCTTCTCTACCGCAGTCAGTGTCTTTCATTTCATTCTTGCTTTTGTCGGTAATAATTTCGTTGTTTCTTAAATCCTCTTCCCCGGATTTTTCCAGGGCTTCCTGACCATTGCCTTTCCCAACGGCATTTTCGTGGGGGTCCTCCATTGAGACCATTTCAAATCCCTTCCGTAAATGGAAAAACTTTTCGCAAACTCTCTCAAACAAACCTTCGAGTTTCTTATTGAAGCACATAACTATTATGTAACCAAGATATAAGAATGGAAACACCAAGGCTTCGTACCAGTGAACTATGTTATCCTCTATGACAATTAACAGAGCGGTCAGATGTATAGTGTATGCCACAGAATCCCTCAAAAGCGGCCACGTCCGAAGAGCTATAGAGATACCAGAACACAGCCCACAAATGGCCGATATGAAGAGGATATTGAACATAGTTGAACCAATAATAGTACCCAGGCCTATATCACCCTCACCCATGAATACGGAAGCAATTGCGATGAACAGTGTGGGCATAGAACTACCAGCAGCCATGAATGTTGCGCCTGCAACGTCTGTCGGGATACGTAGTCTAAAGCGAGTAAAAAGTATTTTGAACATCAGTTTAAAACATCAGTTTTTGACTTCTAAAGCTTAGTAAATGTACCTCCCAAATTAACGCAAACAGTTTTTTTTATTACTTTTTGGACATTTTTACAGTTAATCTGTGAACTCTAGAAGCAAAAAGTGTAGTGATGTTAGCCAGTTACAATTGTTTTCAGACACTGTGTGCCCTAAAAGATTTCAGTTGCTTGCTGAATCTAAAGATGTAAAAAGGCTGAAATGTACACATCATGCAAAAACGTATCCCTTTCGTTCATCTCTAAAAACCAAAGATAACTATACTACTCACCGTTTGCATAGTTTTTCAAGTGACGCGCAAAAATAATGATCACACAAAACTGCTAGTGCCCCAAAGCAGTACAGGCATACCAGGGTGTGTATAACAACGGCTCCTTCTCGCCTCTGCTGCAGTGAGAACAGCGTTTCATATTGCAGTACATTGATAATATTGTGGCTGCTACAGTTGAAGAAGTGCCGTTTAACGTGACGAATATGATGAAGGACGCTGAGTTTCCTGGGAAGTCGATCCATTGTTGTAAGGTTTTATCTTGTCATCTGTTTCTAAGGACAAGCTACACCTGAAATGAAGAAAAGTTTGAAAGACAACGGATCACAATTGATACCTTAGTCTCGATCAGCTGTGGTTTAAACTTTCGAACAATTTTAAGGGAAGTCAAGAGAATTAGAGACATAAATCTGCCTTGCGGTTTTTTTCATCGCTTTCAACAAATGAGCTGCTAAGTTATGCCTGGTTTTCGTTAATTTGTGACGAAAGCTTTAAATCGCAGGTGATCATGATTCGATAAATGCCCAAAGATCGCGAAAATCATACGCCTTAGATGTGAATCCCTTCTGAGTATTCAGGGGTTAACATGGTTGAGGGTTCATGGTAGGAAAAGATAATAGAATACTCCGCCACTAAATGAACAGTTGATTTATTGACACATATCAAAATCTTCTCGATTTCCGCCACTGAGCCATATCTGTTAACCTACGGCTAGCATGGGTTATTTCAAAACCCGTTTTTCTGTGCTCAGCAACAAGGCAGCACTTCGATAAATGTAGCAATACCAAGAAAAATCAAATACATAACAAGAAAAATAACGCCTAGTTTCTCGTCTAACCGCCATTTGTTAAGAGCTATCAGTAACACTGTACAAATGATACTAGCTATCAAAATCCCTGAAGTAAAAAATATGTTCTCGCTTTGAATGTGAACTACACTGCTCGGAGTGATTATAGTAGTTTTGATCATCCATGGAATTCCAAGGCATAACATGTCGAAAACATTGCTGCCAATACAATTTGATACAGCCATATCTCCGCTTCCTTGTTTAGCGACCACCAAGCTAGCGATGGCGTCTGGGAGACTGCTGCCCGCAGCAAGGAATGTCATACCCATGACGCATTCTGGGATATTGTAAGTGAATCCCACGAGGGAAACCATCCAGACTAAAATGTACGATAACCCACCCATCCAGAAGGCCGAAACTGTGAATGTTACCAAGTAAAATTTTCGCCATTCCTTCTTACGGCAATCTGGAATTGTTATATAAAATAAAACTATGGAAGGTAAAGTGAAAATCCAAACTATCCTTGAGAAAAATCCTTTTGGTGTTTTAAAACGATTTTCTTCCTCGTGGGAGGAATCATTTTCTAAAGTTTCAGCTTCAGTATCTTGACCTTTCTCATCAACTTCAGAATCTGCTTCGGCGTTGGGTTTTATTATCCGATCTTTCAGTTTCATGGACCATTCCTCAATATTTGAGTTGAAATACATCACAATAATGTAAACAGAGTATGAGATGAAAAACGCGGCGCTTTCATACCAATGAACTTTCCGATCGTAAATCGAAATCATCAAGATGATCACGCTAATTACATACATGGTAGAATCTCTAAAAAGCGGATACCATTTCAAACGCATCGTCAAACCAGCGCCAATACCACACAAGGCTATGATGAAAAGTGTGTTGAATATAGTCGAGCCAACTATTGTTCCGAGGCCGATGTCTCCTTCTGTGAAAAATGTCGATATTATTGAGATAAAGAGTGTCGGTGCGGAGCTTCCCACAGCCATGAAGGTAGCACCGGCCACATCTGGTTTAAGACCCAAACATTTGGTGATTCGGTTCAGCGATGCCACGAAGTAGTCGTCGCAGACAACAGTCAAAGCGCAAAAGATATGGAGGCAAACTAGAAGATGAAACGTAACTCCACCGTAAAATCTCTGCTCCTGGTTGAACAGATCAGGAGGGAATTCTTCAATTCTTGGAGGCCTGCAGGATCTTATTCCACACTCCTCGTTAGCGACGAGTGATAGAGAGCTATCATGGTACACCAGATCCATATCTTACTGGTTAGATCGCGGTAAACATATCATACTTCACTTAGATGTGTGTCATTTAGAGCTTGCTGAGCGAAATCCCGAAACATAACCTCGTTCACACCTGTAACTTTCTTGTCAGACAACTCAGCCTGCGGCCTTGACCTTATTTTGTCACGCCCCGCATAGAATAATCACCGTATCAAACATTGTTGACCTCAATTTTAACTCAAAGTTCAGTTTCTGAGTTCAACGCCCCGACGAAAAAAAAATCGATCTCTCAGGAAAAATCGTTGCTGAAAGCATTTACCATTGGCCTTCACTCAAGAAAAGTGTTTTGTTCTTGTGTAAATTCTAGCGAAGAATCGAGCAAGTGAATGAATATATAAACCGCGAGCACATAATAATGATATGCTAGGGACCTTTTTCAATTGACACCTTCCAATGCACGACATTCTCAGAAGATGACCAATTGACCATTTTAACAGGTGGCCAAACGGGTGTGTTAAAATATAATTGGCTAATGCTCTGTACTTGTTGAATTAAATCCACCTACGGAAATTTGTTGCCTTCATATAAATAGTCCTTTTAGTTCAATAATTCTCATCTGATTATTTTTTTTCATCATGAATAGTCTTTACTTTCTGCACTCTCATGATATAAACTTTTCTATACACTTTCGTAATCTCTGCCCAGCAGCTCATTCAAAAAAATTACTTTTCAAGTGGCCGTGATTAATTTGTGCTTGAGTGTTTTATGTTCGAATCAAGTAAGATAGTACTCTCTCTATTACTCAGTGATTTTGAAAATAGTAAACCTTGAATCAAAGTTACAAGTTTTCTTTTGCTTTTCAAAATCTACACTAAACGCCTTTTAAGGAAATCATGTATTGACTTATTTGTATTAATCTAGGCCAAGCGCTTCCAACAGGTTTGTTTTACATAGATCATGATCAAAAAAGTATTTTATAAATGAAAACAACCTGAAAAGGAAATCCCTTCGATGAAAATGCAACTTAAGAAGTCAAGATATTACATCATGTAAATCATAGGAGCCGTACTGTACCTTGAGAGGTTCAGATTAATTAAATCAAGTGGGTTGTTGATTAGAGGTTGTAATTCTTTATTTTGACAATGAAGGGGCGGATCTTTTGTTAAACGGACGTTCCTGGAGTAAAAAGAAAATTTCAGTCCAGAAACTCCTATGAAATGTAGACCGAAATTTAACCGCACCATAATTTTAAACAGCACCTGAATAGACAAACATATATGTATATATTTTTGAACTTCGAGCCACCCTTTCCACAAGTTAACCAGCGTGTTCAGTCACGCGGAATGTTATGATAACAAAAGAAACGTTTGCGAGTCACGATGACAAAATTTTGACCAATCAGAGCAGGCGCGAGCATAGTTATGTCCTAAGCAAACATAAATATACATCGATCACTGAAATATAACGAAATCAGGCAAACGAAATCACGCAAATCAGTTACGTTTTATTAGATTGTATTTAACCCAAAATATGGCTCTATAAAGTCAAGGGGAACGCAGATGAATGGTGTTATTTTTTTTTTACGACTGTGGATGCCTTGTACCCTGCATGTTATTTTATACAAGAGAAAACACTACCAAGACAATGTCTCTCAGGTGTGACTTCCAACTTAAAAAAAATTGTGACCAGAATAAAAATGTGAATCAGGTATCTTTTTTTTAAAGTAAACAATCTTTCTTTAAAAAATCAATTTAGATATCGATAGGTATCTCACGGTGTCAATTTATATTGTTTGTATGTCTCATAAAATTCACGTATATTGAATGGTCCCTTTGTAAATTCCAAGTTATTTAAACGCTTGACTCCAAGCTGGAAAAGGTTTTCCAACCCCTTTTCACTAACCGAGGGAGACGGGAATATTTTGTGGTAAGTGTGCTGGACTCATGATCGACATCTGCGGGCTCGAGCCTAAGCCGAGTTAAGTAGTTGCGTTTATTGCCGAGCTACTTTTCTCTCGCAGTGCTTTTCTCCATCCTGGAGTTAAAAATGGACTCACCAAGGGATAATCTGCGATGAATTAGCACTAATCCCGTCTGAGAAGATTAACCATGTTTTTTGTCGCTTCACGCTGTAGAAACTTGAGTCATTGCCCGGTCAGATAAACTGCGGCGACGTACAACCTGTAACTCGTACTGTCATTGACAGATCAATATGAATCTAAGGTGTTTGACAAGAGCTGTTCTCTGCAAGCTCTTCTTCTGCCGTTGATTTTAAAAATGGCTTCAATTGCCCATGAAACAACCCGAAAAATCAAGAGATTAACCCAATAAGCTCTTTTAGGAGACAAATTAGAAATCACTGCCAATTAAACATCTCATCTGTTGTTACATTTCCACAAAAGTAAGAAAAACTTCGCTTTTGATAAGCTATTCAATAACGCAGTGAAGGTAAATATGATAGAAATATATATGACAATAGCACCTTTTACCCGCTAAGAAAAATAACAAGATCAACAGCTCATAACTTCGAGTGATGTCAACCTGAACAGTGTCGCTTACCTGCATGAACAGGCGATCGGACTTCCCTCTCTAATATACTCTCTTAATTTATTCTGTTGAGGAATCCTTCTTCTTGAGGGAGAGTCTTTTATAATCAATGTCTGTTCAGTCCAAAGAGGAAGAGACAAATGGTAAAGTTTTACATGATGTTACTCTGGAATCTCTTTTAGTTACTGCTTAGAGTTCTGCCGATGTACCTGCGCGTTACAGGTGTCTCAATAGTTATGGATGAAAACACAACGTTAGGTTAGTCACCAGTCCTCTCAGCGCACCAACAGCCAGGCGTGTGTACCAACATAGCGTTCTTTGCATGAGAGTTTTAACTCAGAAACGTTTAAGTTTGTTTCACTTTCGAACGCTAGAAATCAAACCATCTTTTTTACCTATTTTATTTTTACCTAACCTTGCAACTTTGGCTTTCATAGAAAATCCCCTTATATAGTTGATTTTCCAAAGATAAACCACTTAGCAATTTTTGAGGGCTTTTGAAGCTTTTTTTATGCGTCAAAATCGTTTGGTACTTTGGAGAACTTATACTTAGACTCTGATCATTTTTTTTCCAAATTTTGAGAATGCAGGATGACACCAAAAATAAATAATTATGAACCTACGCAATCAAAGTAGATATAACTCAAACTTGTGTAGATAAAAAATTCCAAATTACTGCCGTTTCGTAGATGACAAAATTTTGCTAGCAAATGCGACTTTACATTGCTGAAGATAAGTTTTACAAAAAGTATCGTTGAAAAATGATCACAAACTAAACGTTGTGACCGAACTTTTAGACCTATCACGCTCAAGTCACGCTCCAACAAACTTACGATTTTTTTACGATATTTATCAGTTTTATGTGCCTCTCTGTCTTGTCTTTAATCAATGTGATTAAAGTGAGCCATGTAAAGACAGCGCTTTGGTTCATCGCTCGGCTTTAGTTCAAACTGCCCGTTAATTCTGAGTATTTCAGACATTTCATTTTTTGTGACCAACTGGTTTGTGGAAGGAGTGTTGGCTTCTCGGGCTGCATTTCCAGTTTTTCCAAGCTTCTTTTCAGGTGTTATCTCTTTGTCCTCTTGTACTTCAGTGGCTCTCTCTGTTTCTTTGTCCTCTTGCTGTAAGAGCGGTGTCGTAGGGTTTGAATGCGATGTGTCATTATCTTCGCCTGTCGTAGAACTGGTGTGATTTTTTGTCGACACTTGCTCGCCAGTTCGCTTTCTGCGTCTTCGTTTGGCCTTCTTTTTAGGTCCCTTTTCAGGGAGGTCCTTTGTGCCAGTGCACAAGGGAGCACCGCTGCCATCTGATACTTGATCTTTTGGTCTCATTTCAGGAAGGCCCTCGACATCTTCATTCAGAGGAGCACAACTTTTGTCCGATACTTGTGTTGTTATCTGAGCTTCGGAAAAGTTCTCTTCTAAATTGCCTGGAGATTTTCCGCCTTTTAAAGTTCCATCAGTATCTTTTCCTCTTGATGCTTGACTCACTTCATGAGGTCTTTGATTAATTAAACACCTACTACTGCAGAGGCCGGCGGCAAATTCGCACATATTAAAATCTACTTCAGCTGTTTTTGCATTGACAAAAGTGTCGGACACAACTTTTCTGACACATAACAGCTGAGTGTCAAGGCGCCCGTCGTCGTCTTCCACGTCAGATAAAACTTCCTGTCCTTCATTCAACCAGCATTCTCGGTAATATTCTTCCACCTTGTCGAAATGCCCGATGTTGTATTCTAATCCCTCTAAAAACGCCTTGACTCGTTCTACTTGGGCTTCGTTTACATCTTCTTGGTCGCTAACATTTGACCAATCCACATTTATGTGACTATCAGGTGTCACAAGCTGACTTGTGCTCGGAACTCCTAGATCAGGACTGTAGACTTGAGCCCGATCAGTGTTAATAACAATGCTTTCTGGAATTTTGAACTCTACTGAGCCATTTTCATAGTGGTGTTTCCCAAGGGGGCTTGTGACATCGCCGTTCCAACGATTTATCCAATAATCAACTTTCTTCGGTAATATTGTATAAAAACGTTTAAACAGCTTGTAGATACCCCAAGGTGCCAAGATCGGGAGAAATAGTGTCCCAACCAAAACGCCCAAGCCAATGGTAGAGTATCTACCTTTTTCTCGTCCGTTCGTCCACTTTTGTGCAAGGAGAACAGGAGGGCTGACTGCGCCAGCTGCTGTTAGAGTAAAATTTGTCACGTTTCAGATTAAAGTTGTATATGATTTTTCTGGTTATGAAAAAATTTAATGTGCTTCTGAAATTTGCGGAATAGAGCAACTTTTTTGTTCGTTCTTCTGGTTTTTCGACAGTCGGTCAAATTAGCTTCAGTTTGTGACCAAGAACTAAAGAATTCCTAAATTAGTATTTGAAAGTATAAGAAAAAACAATTTTTTTAAAGAAGTGTCTCACCAGTGATAATAGGAACGAAAATCACTCCTCCTATACCGAGGATGCATGCTCTCTTTACCCTCTCGACAAACTCTTGTTTCCATCCCATTTCACGATGCTCTTCGACTTTTAATACAGTTTCTTCATCGATTTGCAGCCAAACTGGGTCTCCGTTGACATCATCACTCAAAATCAAGCTTACATCTGAGCTTTTCAAAGGTTTCTGGTCAGTTTTTGAATCCTGCTGATCTTTTTTCTCAGGTATCAGTGAATCATTTGAATTCGGTGAAACTGGGTTTGAACCAATCGCACATTCCTCCGTTGCTGTTCCGTTGTCCTCTATGTTACGTTCAAATAAAACCGGGGAGCTATCATTATCCATTGTAGACAGATATTTCCTTCAATTTCTAGATCACCACTAAGTACCTTTCATTAATAACCACTATTACAATTCGCGTGAACTGTCCGTTAACCTAATCCGTTATGTTTTCAAAACAGAGATCGTTATTTTTAGTGATGGCGCGTGCTGGGCGACGAAAGCGAAAACCCGTAAAAAGAAAATGTTATTATTTGACCGTCGTTCATGAGAACTGTAACTGATAGAGCTGGTGAAAGGGAAGAAATATCCAGATACAGAGTAAGACAACATTTCTCTGACTCCATTCAATATTTTAATATGAAAACTTAAAAAAAAAGGCGAATACCGACTCGTTTTCCAGATAAGCCCCTTATCTTGTTCTATTTGCTGCTTAGGAAGAGTAATATGAACACGACGACCCTTCTCTAATGTTTATTCTTGTATTTCATTGCCTTCTATTGTGAACAAGACCTAAATCTTCAAAAAAGAAGCATAAATACTGCTTTCCGTGATAACACGATTCGTTCGCCCCTACTTGTTTACGCGATTTCATTGCGTGATTTTGTCAACTCTCACCAACTATCAAGAACCGTTTGAACGCAAACATGATAGTCAAAGATAGTGAATTAAAGTTGAAACTAACATCAACTATCATAACCATTTGAATAAGGCTAAAGCGTCGAGATTGATGCAATTACATGTCTTCTAAGCCCCGTTCAAACGGTCATGATAGTCGACGATAGTTTCAACTATCATCCACTATCAGGTTTGCGTTCAAACGGTTCATGATAGTTGACAAAATCACGCAATGGGATCGCGTAAGTGTAAAAAAGTATCGCGCGTGCTGAGGTCTGCAACTTCGGTGGCATTTGAAATTTCAGTCAATAAGTTGCGAGTTGAAGATACTGAAGCCTACCAGGGGATGATGAGAATGAACTACGAGACATTCTGCGAAGTTTTAACAACTACCGTAGTCATTTTACCCTTTGCTATTTCGGTTTGGGCCCATCTTTGACTTTGACTAACTGCTTGCCGTAAAAACTATCATTCACAATCACCCGCTCGTTCAAACGGTAAAAACTATCATCAACTATCATGTCGAATTGGAACATGTCCAAACTACATCATAGTCGATGACAGTGCATGATAGTTCGTGTTCAAGCGCGTGGTAGTTGAAACTTTCATCAACTATCATGACCGTTTGAACAGGGCTTTACAGTATATCCAACTTCTGATATATCGTCAAAAAAGAAAACCGTCAATTTTTGTCATAAAGTAACACTTCTTAATTAACATCTGATACACTCAAGAAGTTTAAAAGTACCTCCTAGTGGAAATTCTGTGAAAGTAAAATTTGACAGCCAGAGGTTCAGTCATTTTGTAAACGTGCCCGACTGCAGGTCTCGTAGCCAAGAAAGTTCAAGGGAACGCAGTAGTGAACATGGTTCGAAAGATAACGGAAATGAAACCGTTTTCTGTGTTGTACTGGATTACCCGTTGCTTCAATACATTTTAACCACTACTATCTCAGAAGACCTTCCGTTCAGATTACATAAACTACAAAACGGTGCGACAGTATCAGCTTTGTTTTACCTCACTCTGCCTGTTTTTACTATGACTTTGTGTAACAGGAGATAGACTTTGCAGTGATGCATCAGTCTTCACCTGAATTACAAATTGTTTACATGCTGTGTAAAATATTCCATTTTTATAGTAAAAACTGTTTGAGAGTCAGTGGTATTGGCAGTTCATGTACTTTCTTGAGACCTTTAGTTCCCAGGGTTCCTCTGAGTGACCAGCAACTCAACTGGAGCAAGCTTGATGGTCTAGCTGTGTGTCAGGGTAAAAGTTATTGATTAATAATAATAACAAACAATAATAATAATAATAATAATAATCAAATTCGTCAGGTAGTCAGTATATGATATTAGTAAGGTCCTTCTCAGTGGTTTCTGTATGAGATTTGGGAAAGAGCATTTCAATGATATTCTCTTCTATGGGAAGATTTGTGGATAACTTAGAGAAACCATTATAACAATTGCTTCAGAAGGAAACACACATAAAAATAGTGGATTAAAAAGGAAAACAGTGAGGTTTACTCTACCACAAACAAAAATTACACAAAAATGTACAAAATATATGCAATGAGTAATAGGATAAGGTTTTGAAACACCTTCTTGTTGTTGAAGAAGTTTTTCACATTCTGGGTATTTCTGAGCCCTGTCTCTTGCCGTCTGACCACATTTGTCTTTTATGAACACATTCGCACCATATTTTATTAAAAGTTTGACATTTTCTATTTTTCCAAGTTGTGAACAGTAGTGCAAGGATGTGGCATGGTTCCAACATCTAGAAGAAATATTTACTGCTGCTCCCATTTGCACAAGCATCTAAATGACAATTGAGAGAATATTCTTGTGTTACCTGTACACAGTAAATTTTGAAAGGACACATTACACCATTCTCCTTTCTAAGGTCTAAAATGCTTCTGATCAGCTCTAATTACTTTGCATAGTAACTGCTTTGTTGAAAATATTCCACATAAAAACACAAACTGAAAACTCCTAGAGTAAGATGTTGAAAAAAACCTTCGCATAAATTTTACAACCTTTCAACTTAAAAAGTCTTGAAACTTTTGCAATGTTTTCATCATACATGACCACTATAATAAAGATCACAGTCAAATGTTTCCCTACCAAAGAGTTCTATAGAGTTTGATGAAGTCCAGCACAGATGCCTTTCTTTTGCAATTGTGCCAAGTTTTAAAGTATCAAAGCATAGTTGTCTAAAAATACTAGCATAGTTATGGACTTCTGTAATTTTCTTTCATAAATTTACATGAGTTATAAATTCTGAATGAACCCCAGGGATTTGATGTGAAGCTTTTGTGCAACAATTGAATATTATCAACAAGTAAAAGAAAAAGCATGTAATGTATGTCATAGCTTCTTATCCAAGGCATGTACATCAGAATTTCTTGTTGAGGGCTTTTCTTACTTCTTAAGCTGTCTAGAAAAACTCTTGAAAGTACTTTGCTTCTATTATAATTATTTTTTAAAGTCAGTAGTATAAATGTAACTATTGCCAATAAAAAGGTAACTTTTACTGCAAATGTTACTTTCAAATTCAATTCTTAAACTGCAGTTGACAAGTATGATTTTCATATACTTACAGTCATTTAGTCATCACTTCACAGGTTTAATATGAACCAACATAATGACCAGCTCCCAGTGGGCTTGTTAGCTCAGTTGGTAGAGCAGTGCAACAGTATTGCAAAGGTCTTGGGTTCAAATCCCATACAGACCTGAATTTTTTTTCAGGCCTTATTTTAAATACTGCCTAGACAGTGTTCATTACTGCAAAGATCACTTTCAAATTCATTTCTTAAACCGAGCTTCACATGCATGATTTATTAAAAGAAAGTTCGAAAGGTAACTATAAATACCTTGACTGAACTGTGACCATCTGGTGCATTGATACATGCATGGTGCAAAGGAGTACAACCACTCTGATCTATAGCATCCAATTCACATTCTGTGTTTGCCTATGATGATGCAAAACAGGGAAAAATTTAAGTTGTAAGGATAAAGTGGATCAATATCAGTATCTGGGCAACTGCCCACCTACCCCTCCCCTAACCCAACATTAACCCGAAGTTGTTATCGATAGACTGTTGCTGGGTTAGGGGAGGGGTAGGTGGGTAGTTTCCCAGATACTAATATTGATCTGATAAAGTTACTCAGAGCAAGATACCAAGATGCTGATAGATTAAACGATGCCTTAGGATGACAAGCCAGGACCCCTTGCCTTAAAAGAAATATTTTACGTAAAGCTAACCATAGGATTATTCCGGGTTACAATGATCAACTACTGGCCACAAGCCCTCCCTGAGTGCAGTGCACCCCCCCCCCCCTGCTACTTTGCCACTCTATGGTGTAATAATTTCGCAGTCCGAGCCAAATATTTGATTATTGTAAGTCACTCAAAGTCGCTGCACTTACCAAAAGTTCTACACAGCTCTCGTGAACTTCTGAACAAGCAATATGCATTGGATTTTGTCCTCGATTGTTCTTAACATTAACATTACTACCAGCTTCTATTAGAATCTTGAGACAGTCTGCCTTTCCTTCACGTGCCGCAATAAACAAAGGTGTTTCAGGAAACTTTGTATTGAGATCGGCACCTGCTTTTACCAATCTTTCCACGCAGTTTTTATGACCGGCGTAAGTCGCTACCCACAGCGGCGTTAGTGCTGTGTTACCAAGCCCGATGCCGTTTACTTTTGCTCCAGCTTCAAGTAACAGCCTGAGACATTCATCGTGTCCTTCTTTCGCTGCCAGAAATAAAGCTGTAACAGCAGAACTATTTGGGCAGTCTACCTGAACGTCCTTCTCGGAAAGAAGGGCTTGTAACTTATCAACTTGCCCATTTTCAGCGGCATATAATAATTGTGCTTCTTTGGGCTTTCGTTCAATGGTCTTTTCGACATCGCTTATGTTACCCATTAAATAAAATATGTTCCTTATTGCGGTTAGAACATTTTGTTAAGCGACTAACAATGTAGCCATGTTTATTTATATTCTGACCGCCCTGCATCATGGGAATGTCACGAAAATTTACCATCCAGGGGAGAGAGGATTCGGAAACTTGACCTGAAAACTTTCTAGTGATTTTTCACAAGTTCTTATTTTTGAATCTTCAAAAAAATAAGGTTTATAATATCAGAAGAATAAATTTGGGTGTGAGGAAGTAAAACGAGAACTTAACGACTTGAATGAAAGGGCAAAATCCCATGCTTTAGTTTGGAGGAAAAGTCCAAAATGGCGGCCCTAGGAACAGCGGTAAACATTACGTTTCCATAGTAACCTTGCGCCAAGAGTATTTGCAGATTTCGGGCAAGGACGAAGGGCTGGCCTACGAAGCCGCAAGTTTTCCAGAAATTTTGCAGTTTGGAGGGCTAAAATCCGACAAATGCGTGTAGAAATCCTTCAGATACGATACAAGTGATATTTATGGAAAAGTCCTTTTGATCTCCAGACCTCAAAAGATTGTAAATTTGTAAATACGTTTAACACAGACACAACTAGTCAAGCTACAGAAAGAGGATGGAGTTCAACGACGTTCGTTTCGAGTTCATATCAGAATACACCTTAAAGTCCATGAAACTGAAAGCAGACAAATGGGCTAAGTTACAAGGAAACGATGAATACAGACAAACTATTTTGGACTTCTTTGAAAAGCCAGAGAATAATATTCTCGTCATCTATCAGAATAATGCAGGACAGCTTCAACCAACGTTTGATTTTCCGTCGGCAATGAAGGCAAAAGCTGTTTATTTCTCCAAGAAGGAAAAAGGCATGAATGTTGGAAAAGATAATTACAAAACAGCTTTAACTTATGGAGATTTGTCTTATTCCCCCTTGGAACAATTGTCAGCTCTTGTAGACGAGGTTTGTTTTGCAAACTTAGCAAGTGATTGCATTTTGGTAGTTCGATGGATCGGTCCCTGGGAACCATGAAACTTACAAATTAACTTATTACTTGTTAAGTAACAGGGTTTAAAGCACTATATTTTGCATGCACACTGAAAGATCCTAGCTTAACCGGGAAATTTTAGACTCGTGTTTGAGCGCCACAGTTGTTAATGGTTATATTAGATTGATTGCAAGTCTTGCTCAAAACAGATACATTACAGCATACCGGTACACATTTTTCGTATCTGTAATTTCATTTTTACTATCCTAATCGAAGAAAACTGTTATGCCCCAAACATTTCGCAGGTTTTCACGTCGTGAAAATTTCTCGATTGTCGTAAAATAAACTGCGCAACAACTAACCAACCGTGACCATGAAGTTTACTCTAACATAACATGAAACTTGAAAATAGACAACTGTTCCCAGGAGTAGAAAACTGAGGAAGGAATTAAGTTTGACCTTTTTTTTTTTAAAAAAATGGCAGAAAACTGTGCTCAGTAAAAGTTTTGGGTTGGACTTCAAGCTAATCTTTAATTTAGTTAATATGTAAATCCCTGGAGGCTATCACTTGAGTCAGGGATTAATTTCATTGTTTACATTGGGTAAGAAAATTTCTCTTATTAATCAAATGTTTTCTCTTCGAAATCTGTCAGATTTTGGTCCCTTTGCTGTCCAATTCTCGCAATCATGAACAGTGGCCTGCAGTTGTGTCTCAAGATGTCTTGCGCCATGTCCATCAGCTCAAAAGTAATGTCTTTGTCATTGCTGGACAAGTGAAAGGAAAGACATTATTACCACTTCCAGTAGGTTCAGAGCAGGTCTCTGATGCTGTGGAAGCTGAAGAAAAGTTAGTCTATGGATCATGTAATTTTGATGTTGTTATAAATATTTAGTGCATTGTTGACTTTGGATGCTCCTTTTACATGTAGATATATTTTGTAATAAGAATGCATCCAGGTAATGCTATTTTTTACTCCACTTAGTCAAACAAAGGCACGATTTTTTTATCACACAAGCAAAATCAAAGTAGTAAACTATGAAGGAAAAAATGCACTGAATTATTCTAACTGTATTCAGCCTCCCAAACCCCTCTCTCCCCCTTTCCTCCCCCCCCTCTTCACCCTTCCTCCACCAAAGTGGTGGTGAAGCTAATTGTTAGGATTTGAATTGTGGATCCCTTTAACTCCTTGAAAAGATTAACATCTAATTTTGTCCTGATAATGTCAACACATTATTCAGCAAATGGGTAATAAGAAAACTCAAACTTATCTAATACCACATTCATGTAATTTATTTACAGGGAATAGTGTAGCAGTTAGAGGGAAGATGTAGAATCGGATCTTAAAAGTTTTAAAAGGGTTAAGAGTCACACCCACAGTATACTCATAGCACTTGTGATAAATATTTAAATTCTTACCATGGCAAACTGAAAAACTACAGATAACAAGAAGTGTGCCACACTGGAGTTGTTTGCAAGCTGTAAGCCATCCACAAAGAGAAAATTTCTGCATATCCTTCAGTGTCCAATGGTTTGTTACATGTTAACAGTGAAATGTCCAAACTTTAGTCAACTGGAGCCTGATATGTAACTAACCATTTTGTTTTGTCTTTTTTTAACTAGAGGTGAACCATTTGATCGTGGTTTGGTTCATTCTATTGAATCAGTAATCATTGAATGGACACATCAGATACAGAGTGTTCTGAAAAGAAATTCAGCTCAGCCACTGATAGAAGGTCGTAATCCTGGACCACTGGTAGAACTTGACTTCTGGAGAGCTCGTGCCAATAACTTGGAGTGCATCTTTGAACAGGTCAGTGCATTCAAATCTGAAAAATGAGGTTCCTAAGATAATGGAGACTTGAGGCAATTACAGAGAGTAAAATTGCAGCTCTTTTGATTTCTCTGCTGATAAAAAAAAACACCTTTCAAGAGAAATTTACATAGACATATAACTAGGGTTTTAGAAAGCGATAATTTATTCTCTGTAAACAAGTGAAGAAAGTAAATTAAAGTTTTAGAGTTTTTTTTTTATTAAAAAAATTCTCAATTTGCTTTTTCATTACCCATGTAGCTCCATGATGTGAAAGTTCGAAGAATGGCTGAACTGTTGGAAAAAACTCAGAGCAGCTACTTTCCAGCCTTCAAGAAAATCTATAAGGATGTTGTTGCTGGTAAGTGAATTTTTGCCAAGGTTGCAACTTTTTTGATATTTTTCTAACCACACAACTGTTTCAAAGTAATGCCATGAGTAGTGCAAGGTACTTATCTGTACTTAATAATTTTGTTAACTTTTTTGTTTTTCTTAGCCCTTGAAGAAGCCAGAGACATCAACATTCACCTGAAGCCTTTGCGTCGCCTGCTCGATGACATGGAGCAGTTTGATTTTTCAGAGTTGGATAAGATTATTCCTGCCATTCTACACACAGTTGGTCTCATCTGGGCAAATTCAAAGTACTACTGCAGAGCTCCAAGAATGATTGTTCTTTTGCAAGAGCTCTGCAACATGTTGATTGAAATGGTAAGTAACTTTTAAAGAAACTTTTAATTGTATTTTTTTACAAGTGATTTCAGTCATTAAATTTGTTTTTCTGTGGGTGAAAAATTGATTTTGTACTGTGTATTTCTGTTTTTACCATTTGACTGTCAGTTTTGAAAAAAAAATGTACATAATTATAGAGTTTGGCCCTTGTCCAAATATTTTATGATCTTTTTTAAAACAATGCTTGTCAGTCACAGTTAGTCAGGAAAAATCAGCTAAATTGAGATTTGTTGCTGCAACTGGATATGGACCAATTCTTGGTAATTGGGTACTCTTAAAACATACTTTTTTCACCTTTGCAATCAAAAAAAGAATTATTGAGTCATATGATATGATGAAACCATATTTTGTGCAATTGTTCTAGTGCAAGTTGTTTTAAAGACACACAAACATAGCCAGAAGTAAGTTGCTTACTATAAATGGTATCAATAATGGTATACCCCTCTCTCTATTAAACCCTAATCTTTAAGCCTCCCCCCATTCCACACCCTTCATTTTTTTTATTATCAATTCTTTGTATAGGCAAGAACATACTTGGATCCTGCAGAAATCTTCAAATCAGAGGCAGAAGAAGCTTATGAGAAAACCCAGAAGGCAGTTCAAATCTGTTCATTCTTCAAGGAGACCTTTGAAGATGTCAGAGGAAACATCCAAAAATTCTTCAAGGAGGGGCAAGAAGTTAAGCAGTGGGAATTTGCCAATGAACTAGTTTTTACCAGAATGGATCAGTTTATCTTGAGATTGAAAACTGTTGAGGTTAGTAGAGTAACTATGTCTCCAACAGATTGCTGACTTTGAAATCTGATAATCTTAGTTTCAAACCCTGGCTTTTTTGTTGTTGGTGTTGTTAATGTAATGTGTGATTTTATTTTGTCTATATCAAGGACCTCTTTGCCACCACTATGGAATTTTCTAAGCTAGAGAAGGTAGAATTGGGTGGTATCAAGGGAAAGATGCTCAGTCATCAAGTTGTGGAAATCTTCTCAGAATTCAATGAGATTTTTGCCGTGTTTGGTAATCGAACCTATGACGGCTTAGATGCAACCAACCGGGTAAGTTTGAGATGCACTTTAATGTTGGAATGGATTATAGTACAGAGGTAAATGTAAACAGCATATACATAGTTTGCCAGTTTTCTGAACCTTGCCTAAAGGAAATAAAAAATGCCTCTTAGCCATGTAGCTTTTACAGTTTCTACAGAGTAGAATTTTATCAAGATCATGGTCTTCATTTTCAGGTTGGTTTTATTCTATTCTTAGTATGGCTTCTTTTCCTTTTACTTCTCTGTAGGAGTTTGTTGAAGACTACAACCAGTTTAGAGAAAGAATAGCTGACCTGGATAGAAGACTTGCTTCCATTGTGTGCCAAGGATTTGATGACTGTGCCAGTACGGAGGCTGCATTGAAGGTAAGAAGCAAGTTACAGTTGGATCTTACAACAGTTTCTTCAAGAATTTCAGTTTGGATAGTTTAGTTGGGTATCTAATAACAGTGCTGAACTGCATGTGTGTGTATATTGCTTGGTTGTTCTCAAAACATCACTG